TTTTGACCAAATACAAGTGGAATGGGTCAATACAAGCTCTACGGAAAGCGACATTCTAAACCATTTACTTTATTACATTTGCACATTTTTGCAGGAAAGAGCGTCAGATACAGGCCTATGCCAAACCTAAAAAGCGTGTGATTAAACCTATTATCAAGGGACAGACAGACAATATAGACCTTGTGAAGAAATCGGTATCAAGATCACCGCAGATATTATCAAGGTAATGTATATACTGCCCTCTATAGTTAGGATGAAATGTTACTATGGTAACAGTTTCCACGAAAGTCATTTGGTACAGTGATGGCTGTTAGAATGAACAATTACAAAGTTTTAATTCAATTTCTTAACTTTTTTACCTTGCCCTAAATCACATTATAGTTTTCAAGGTATTGGTGGTAGAGATGTCTCCCATTATTGTTATCATTTTTTTTCCTTTTCAGGTGCTCAAGTCCAGCTATTGACATAAAAAATGAAACTCTGTCTGCATCGTCTTCTAGAAGATCTGTATCTCCTATGAAAATTTCGCCGAGTAGAATGCGGAAAACACGGTATAGACGTAGTAGTAGTGGAAGTTATAGTAGATCTAAAACTGTGGGACCTGTGAGCCCAAACAAAGAGGCACTCCACAATGAGTTGTTGTTAAAAACAACTGGAGTGGTTATGCAAGACATTGAGAACTTGAAAAATGTGGAATTAGGACGACTACGAAATGATTCAGAAAGTGACTGTTCTGTAAAATCTGGGAAATCTTCACGTAATGCTCCAGGGAGCGCTGTTAGACAAACTAAAATACCTTATGGAAGGCAAAGAAGTGTTGAAACACAGACAAGTGACAATACATGTCCAGTGCATAACTGTACAAACAGTACTCAGGAATTATACGATGAAGTTAATAGCAATAACTCGCCAAAATCAGAACATTTCTTGAACGGTAATCATCACTCATCCAATGAATATATTGGAGAGAAATTGGCACGTTGCCATAGTGATGCGAGAAGTCCAATCCGACGTAAAGGACCCGGGGTTGCTATGTTACAGTATCAAAAAACATCATCGTCAAATAAACCCAGGGAATTGAAGAGACTAAATTTAAAACCAAAAAAGGTGAGTATACAGTGATGATGAAACAAATGAAATATGTGATGTCATCACCTATGTAAATTGTCTTATTATTCAAGAAGACAAATAATTTGTGGTGTGACACCAAATAAGGGAAGATGGTAGCAATTTTTTTTATGGTAAGATGATATCTAAATAAAGAAAGTTCCACTTAAAATAGATAGTAAAGTATATGGTAATAAATTGAAACAGACGTGAATGTTTTGTGAAATAGATGATGCCTTATATGGTAAGATGGTGCCAAATATGAACAGTTTCTTATAAGCTAGAAGTTTAACAGTTCATAATATATCTATTTATGTAATATATTCCAGGATATTTGTGGTGATTGGAGTGACGGTGATGGTGACGTCAGTGAAAGCAGTGATAACGATGATGTATTTACTGACAGGTAATAACAAATTATCAAATATAATAAAATCATGTGGTGCTCACTTTGACCAATCATGTGTATTCAAATCATGTGGTGTCCAATTTGACCAATCAGGTGTATTCAAATCATGTGGTGTCCACTTTGACCAATCTGGTGTATTCAAATCATGTGGTGCCCACTTTGACCAATCTGGTGTATTCAAATCATGTGGTGCTCACTTTGACCAATCTGGTGTATTCAAATCATGCGGTGCTAACTTTGACCAATCAGGTGTATTCAAATCATATGGTGCTCACTTTGACAAATCATATAATCAAATCATGTGGTGCTCATTTTGACCAATCTGGTGTATTCAAATCATGTGGTGCCCACTTTGACCAATCTGGTGTATTCAAATCATGTGGTGCTAACTTTGACCAATCAGGTGTATTCAAATCATATGGTGTTCACTTTGACAAATCATATAATCAAATCATGTGGTGCTCATTTTGACCAATTTGGTGTATTCAAATCATGTGGTGCCCACTTTGACCAATCTGGTGTATTCAAATCATGTGGTGCTCACTTTGACCTATCTGGTGTATTCAAATCATATGGTGCTCACTTTGACCAATCTGGTGTATTCAAATTAGGTGGTGCTCACTTTGACAAATCATATAATCAAATCATGTGGTGCTCACTTTGACCAATCATATAATCAAATCATGTGGTGCTCACTTTGACCAATCAGGTGTATTCAAATCATGTGGTGTCCACTTTGACCAATCTGGTGTATTCAAATCATGTGGTGCCCACTTTGACCAATCTGGTGTATTCAAATCATGTGGTGCTAACTTTGACCAATCAGGTGTATTCAAATCATATGGTGCTCACTTTGACAAATAATATAATCAAATCATATGGTGCTCATTTTGACCAATCTGGTGTATTCAAATCATGTGGTGCTAATTTTGACCAATCGGGTGTATTCAAATCATATGGTGTTCACTTTGACAAATCATATAATCAAATCATGTGGTGTCCACTTTGACCAATCTGGTGTATTCAAATCATGTGGTGCCCACTTTGACCAATCTGGTGTATTCAAATCATGTGGTGCTAACTTTGACCAATCAGGTGTATTCAAATCATGTGGTGCTCATTTTGACCTATCTGGTGTATTCAAATCATGTGGTGCTCACTTTGACAAATCATATAATCAAATCATGTGGTGCTCACTTTGACCAATCATATAATCAAATCATGTGGTGCTCACTTTGACCAATCAGGTGTATTCAAATCATGTGGTGCTCATTTTGACCAATCAGGTGTATTCAAATCATGTGGTGCCCACTTTGACCAATCTGGTGTATTCAAATCATGTGGTGCTAACTTTGACCAATCAAGTGTATTCAAATCACATGGTGCTCACTTTGACAAATCATATAATTAAATCATGTGGTGCTCATTTTTACCAATCTGGTGTATTCAAATCATGTGGTGCTCATTTTGACCAATCAAGTGTATTCAAATCACATGGTGCTCACTTTGACAAATCATATAATTAAATCATGTGGTGCTCATTTTTACCAATCTGGTGTATTCAAATCATGTGGTGCTCATTTTGACCAATCAGGTGTATTCAAATCATGTGGTGCTAACTTTGACCAATCTGGTGTATTGAAATCATGTGGTGCTCACTTTGACCAATCATATAATCAAATCATGTGGTGCTCACTTTGACCAATCTGGTGTATTCAAATTAGTGGTGCTCACTTTGACCAATCTGGTGTATTGAAATCATGTGGTGCTCACTTTGACCAATCTGGTGTATTCAAATTAGTGGTGCTCACTTTGACCAATCTGGTGTATTGAAATCATGTGGTGCTCACTTTGACCAATCTGGTGTATTCAAATTAGTGGTGCTCACTTTGACCAATCTGGTGTATTGAAATCATGTGGTGCTCACTTTGACCAATCTGGTGTATTCAAATCTTGTGGTGCTCACATTGATCAATCATATATAATCAAATCATATGGAGCTCAGATTGACCAATGAGATATAATAATAACCATGTGGTGCTCAGATTGACCAATCATATATAATCAAATCATATGAAGCTCAGATTGATCAATCAGATATAATAATAACCATGTGGTGCTCACATTGACCAATCAGATATAATCAAATCATATGGAGCTCAGATTGACCAATAATAACCATGTGGTGCTCACATTGACCAATCAGTAATATTATTTGTGCTTTAGGAGTGATGGTCATGGTAGAATATTCACTTCTGCATTTAGTTCTGATGGAAATAGTGACGATGACAACGAAGAGAACACAAGTGACAGATCACTAGGGACGACACCAGAATTATTGTCATCCAGTTACACTCCAGAACTAGGTATTGAAAGCAATATTTCTGATAGCTTCTCAGATAAAGACAATCCACAGCAGCCAAAATCAGTAAGTATTTCTCCTTTCCATTCAATACGAGAATAATAATGTAAAAGTCCTCTGATGGTAAAATTGTTGCAACCCTCTCGATTTTAAATTCTACCATTCTTGTCTCTACAGGGAAGTGATCTTCCGTCTTCAGACAGCGAGGAAGACTGTTCTGTTGCCACGACAAATACTGTAGTTTGTGCTTATCATAGTAACAAAGAAAATACAACAACGAACAGATGAACAGGGTTGGTTTCCATGACAATGATTATCGGTTACTCAGGTTGTCTACTTGTGTGTTGCAATATTGATTTGAAAATGGTCAACATAGAAACAATTACCATAGTAACCATCAGGTACACAGGGTTAGCTGTGATTGGTGTATTCTGATCATGTGACCAAGCTGAAACATTTATATTATTGCTGGGTGTAAATCCAATTGCTGTCTGTACCGTTGGTAATCAAGTCCCGAAATGTCCTACTTATTGTACTTAAAATTCCTGCAATATGTTCATAGTTTGATGTTAAATCAGAATGGAAATAGAAAACAAGTGTTTAGAATTGGCAATTTTTAAATCTACATCAGCAAAAATGGTAAATCACTGCTGTAAACAGTACTGCAAAACCAGACAAATCAAAAGCCATTTTTAGTGTGTGTACTATAAGACTGACCAATCAGAGAGCATGTTCCATCTTAGTAGGTTTGGAATGTTACATCCTGCAAAATATATGGATCCTGTCATAAATTAGTGTACAACATCAAGGAAACTTTGCAATAGAAACCAAATGTGTATAATTATTCTGAAATATAACTGTTTTTTTTTAAATTCAGCTTCAGTGCTACTATATTGTGTTTATTTCGCTATATCTGTTCTCACTCACTATAGCCAACCTTTTATGGTATGAAAGATGAGATTTCATTCTCAACTATCACCAAATATGGATTGATATTTTTATCATTATTTAGCCAATCAGAAAGATGACACCTGTATGTTTTAACTTAACCAATCAGAAAGGCACTTACACCAGTGTATTTCATCAAGTTAGCCAATCAGAATGATGCTTACACCTGTATGTTTTAACTTAACCAATCAGAAAAGGCACTTACACCAGTGTATTTCATCAAGTTAGCCAATCAGAATGATGCTTACACCTGTATGTTTTAACTTAACCAATCAGAGAGGCACTTACACCAGTGTATTTCATCAAGTTAGCCAATCAGAAAGATGCTTACACCTGTATGTTTCAACTTAACCAATCAGAAAAGCTTTTACACCATTGTATTTCATCAAGTTAACCAATCAGGAAGATGCTTACACCTGTATGCTTTTGCTTAACCATTGAGAAAGATACTTACAAGTATCAGTTCACATCTTGGTCTGGTTTGTATACATTTTAGAAAACCAAACTCACAAATATGTTAATTAGCAATCCCTTATATGGTGATAGTTGACATAAATTATGTTAATGACCTGCAATGGGGTTATTAACTAGGATGATAAAATGTAATTTTTGCTGTGTGCATTATTCTGTTTTTTTAGCAATCTATTTTCTTTGCTGTTTTTTTAGAAATAATTTTACATTGCTTAAAGTATTCTGTGAACCATGTGATATCCCATCATGCATCTGTGGCACATAGTCTTTTGGAAAATATAAGAAGTGTATTTCAGCTAGACAGGTTTGAGAAAAGATCTTATTTCTACAGTACTGTCATGTTTGTGAAAGAAAAGTGGTAATATATTCCTGAATATATAAACATGGAATAGTCATGTAACATACATGTGAGACACTCCAGAATTGACTCTGCTATCTGATGTGTTGTTAAAATATAAAATAGTGATTAAAACTTTCAGATTTTTACTGTTGGTAGTTTGAAAACCTACCTCATTTGCAGGTGTAAATTCGGTGTAAATTTTTTAAATTTTGTGTCGTCTTGATGGCTGAAAATAAGACTTTTCGAACACAAAAGGTTTACAAAGTGTGTCGTTCACAATATTTTTTAGTTTTTCATAACAAATTTAATCAAAAATATCAAAATTTGATGTAAATTAAACTACCAACAATTGTCTTTTTTCTGTATATGAATTTAACCAAGGGTTTATAAGTGTATGCAAGGTATAAAACTAGTGATGATGATAACAAACCAATAGCGGGCACCGTTGTCAACTTTCAGTTTTTACTCAAAAAAATTGTGCTATTTACTCCCAGTCTTCTGAAGGACAATAAACAAGACCATTTTGTGAATTTTGATGAAAAAGGAGAACTGGTTGTGAAAAGTTTAAACAAACCAAAAACTAGCATTAAGATGTTGCTCGTTGAAAGCCTCTACAGATGAAAGGCTTCATCAGGCGATACATTGAGACATAGTAAAAGTAATTTCATCTAGGTAAAGCAGGAGATACTGATAATTGAACAAAAATGCATGCATGGTGTTCTGTACAGCTTTTCTCAATAATAACTATCATATAATCTTTCAAAGCTTGCTCAGTTTTAATTTGTGTTTTTTTTATCGAAGCCGGTCTTTGATATGAAGTTATTTTTAATATCAAGACTGTTTTATTTGTGATTCTTCAAGAAATCAGGGTTGTACAATATGCAGAGTATACTAATTTTTCAGATACAAGCTCACTGATTGGCTTGTCTGAGCTGAGCTGGTTTGTTACAGACTCACTGATTGGCTAGTCTGATTGGCTTGTTACAGACTCACTGATTGGCTGACTTGATATATGCTGACTGATAAGTTGGTCTGTCCGGACTTTTAGCAAACTCTTCGATAGACTGTTAATTTATTAATATTGGCCAATCAAATTTGTTTCTATTGAAATGTATCAACTTTTTTACCACTATTCATAAACTCTATCACAAATTATAATTTTATACATTGGTTTTAATTTTTTCACGAATCTTGACTTATTTAATAATGGTAAACTTTGATGCTCCCAGGGAATTTTTAGACACTGGTGATAAGAAGCTGATTTTTCAATCAGTGTGTATATTCTGAAAATATTTTAAATCAACTGTTAAGTGCAGATAGGACCACCACTCTGCTTGGTTAGTTTAATGGCCTAATTTGGCAATCACAAACTTGGACAGTACAAGTTGGGGGTTCTATTGAAACTTGACCAAGTTAAGGGGCCTTTGATAATTAAAACATGTGCAACAGCAAACCCAAGCTCTTTGTTTACATTCAATCCCATTTTACCCAACCCTAAACAAAAATTTGCAAGTGCAAATAAAGGGGATAAAAGATTTAAAATAACAATAATTAAAACTGCTTTTGATCACCTCTGCTATAAATGAAGAGGTCACATTTGCTGTGCACATGTCTAAATATCCACAACTCCCTAACTTGGTTAAGTTTCAATAGCACCCCTAACTGGTCGCTTGATGAATCTTTTGTTGGTTTTTGATACAGGCTTATCACTTATCAGTAGGTTGTCATCTCATTTGGATTTCCATCTTGCACACAACCACATACTTATGGACTGTGCAAAGTGACTTTTTGTACTTCAAATCAAGCCATGATGATTAAATCAGACTACATAAAATGGTGGATTTGATGACTCACTCTGACAATCTCATGTGACATTGAAACCCTGCAAGTAGTCAAATATAAGTTTGGTTGTCATGTTTGAGCTGCATTCACACTTTAAACAGGCATCTTAAAACTCACTAAGTTAGGAGGCTTTGTTTATCCTTGAGGTTATGATTGCCAAAGGATAAGAACCTCTAGTACTCTCAAAATGAACTGTTTTGTAAAAGTCAAAACAAAACATCTACTTTTAAAATGTGATATTTTTTAGCAAGATATCTACTTTTAACATTTGATATATGTTTTAGCAAAAGTATTATTTTTTACAAATTATTTGATTGTTCTGTGTGAAATATTCTATGTGATGTTTCTTGTATATTGTGTGAATGCAACTTTAACAGCGACTGATACAATTAGTTACGATGTTCGTTTCTGAAACCATTCATTCATTCATTTATAGAGAAGCTACAATTTTGTAAACATGCACCCAGGAGAATATGTTTGTTGGAATCAAATGTCAAGATATTTGCAGATGACCGGGTCTGAAATACGTACTAGTATTCCTTCTTCGTTCCTAAAACTTGGTTTTTGTTGATGATCACACAACGGTATGATGGTTTTTCATCACGTCGTGGTTTCCATTTTGATCTGACATCAAACACTTATGCAAAACTGCATATACATAACAAATATATAGTGTTTTATCTGTTTTATTGTCATTGAGAATATTAAATTTAATAAAAAAAAATATTTTTTTCAGTCCAAGAATACGGCACTGGGTTATCCGATATGTAGAGTTCTTAATAATTAAATAGAGTATGTATTTTTCTCAGGTTTACCCTAGTGTACATATTATCCATGTGTGTCTCAATGTTTGTTGTCATTATTATGCGATTATGTATAACTTGAATTTAAAAAGTTATGGCTAAATAAAGTTATAAACTTTTTGCGCTCTCAATATTTTTTTTTCTGTGTGAGTTTGTGAAAGCTGATATGTAAGAAGACCTGTTCACAACTGTTTTACAGTATGTGTCAAAATAAAATAAAACATGAAAACATTGTAATAAGTTGATTTTGAAGAATCTTGAATTTAAAAAAGCTGCATTAACAGAAATTGTACTTGAAAAGTTTATAACGTTATGTGCGAAGATTTCAAGGTACTTTTTATGATTGAAAGTATGTTTGAAATCATGAAACTTGTCAAGCAAAGTTTAAAATTATAGGATGAGATTTAGTAGGATGTGTAAAATTACAGACCTTTTCAGGTATTTTATCTTTTTCAAAATTTTCCCTATACGAGATGCCATTTTGTGAGTTCACCTGAAAGGCATCTTGCACAACAAACTGTGAGGGCGCAAGACCAAAAAAAATGGTTATGGGATGGCATGAATTAGGGTGTGTATCAGAATCCAGCTAATCAGAAGGCAGTTTTTTTTTTGCTTGTTGTCGTTTATTATGTATGACAATAAATATAGTCTTTTGCGTTTATGAAAATGATACCTTTCCACTGATATCAATGGGATGAAGTAGGGTGGGTATTTAGTTTTCGTTGTCGAGCGACATTTACGAAACGCGAACCACCAGTACAAGATTGTGCCTGACTGGCCACACAACCATAACACCTAACAGACAAGCCAATCAGAAAGCAGTTTTTTTTTTTTTTTGCTTGTTGACAGATTCATCGGACAAATCAAATCATGGCTACGCATTTACAGCATTTTAACATATAAGACATCAAACATTTATTTAGTCAAGATTTTGCATGGAAATTCCCAAACTATTATAAAAGATTTATCCATGAAAGATCTTGGACCTACATTAAAATCTAAAGAACACGTTTTCATTGGCTATCGAATTCATATTTTAACACTCATTACTCAAGTTTGTTTTAATCAATGACCGAATTACTTCTAGGTAAGCGAAAGTCATTCTATATGTGTAGCATGTATCCGCTACGATGCTGTGAATGGTAAAGTTGCTTTCAAACATCATTTTAAATTTACAGTGAAATTATTGTTTATAAATTGCTTAATCCAGAGGTAATCTGTTCTGAGTTCTGACTAATATTAAGAATTAATTAATAGTTTAATATCATCCAATCTGCAAGCGGTCGTAGTTTCTATTTCACTTGAAGACGTGCACGCGTATTGTGGGCGGAGTCAATGTGGAGGAGACCGGTAAATTATGTTTAAAATTGCATTTGCATTAACGCTTTTCACAAGTTTTTGTAGATTTTTGGACAGATTATTAATTAAAAATTGCTTCTATAATACACAACTCCGATGCGTTCAATGATTGTGATTCGAATGCACAATAACTCGACCGTACATTTTTGGGCGATCCCAAACACCGTCTCGCCGTCACGCTCGTCACTATATGGATTTTTTTCTATCCAGAGAATGTTTGTGTCAACGCTACCAATTACTCCAATTATTTTAAGCCTGTACAATATTGGAGACCTGAACAACACAGGCATGCCGTGCTTTAGCGATCGATAATGCTACATTTACAGGAATTTTTGGTTATTTTGCAATCCGAACTGTAACAGTATTCACAATTCTTGTACGTATTTACAGTTCACAATTACTAGTATATGATCCATGGTTTCATACTCACCTTTGCAAAACGAATATAGTCGGAATGCAGTCGGTTTATATTTTATAGTTTAAAATTAGTAGCAATGTATCCTTGGATAATCTAGTATTGGAAAGTCCTCAATTTTGAAGAGATTGCAGTTTTTAATGTCAATTTAATATTGCAGCTCATCCAATCTATTTAACATTGGTGAGATCTCCATGATATTTGTACACAAAGTGTTATATACACTTTCTCATATGAAAGTG